ATTTGAGGTAGGGATGCAGGAAGGGTTGGAAGAAGGGATGAAGGGATGTAGGGAGGGGTTGGAGGGATAAAGGATCGGGAGTGGGGGGTGAGTGTGTGTGCAGAGGGTGAAAGGGGAGGGTGGGTGTCGAAAGAGGGAGATGAAGGTGAAACGCCAGGTGAGATGAGTTTATGTTGACAGTGAGGGGTGGAAGGAGTGTGGTCCTGCTCCCGAACTTAAGCTAAAATATTAACTTAATTTGTGTTAGATTTCATTTGTTTTAACTATGTCAGCTGTGTTAGCCCTCAGCTGTGTTAGCTCTCAGCTGTGTTAGCTCTCAGCTGTGTTAGCTCTCAGCTGTGTTAGCTCTCAGCTCTGTTAGCTCTCGGCTGTTTTAGCTATGTCAGTTTTATTAGCTGTCAGCTGTTTTGGAGAAAGAGACTTGGACCTGTAGCCTGTGCTTTAAAACACGTTTGTTCTGGGAAATCAAAACAAAACAAAATCAAATCAAAACTTTCATAGTTTAATAAAAAGATTTGTAAAATGAATCAGATATTGGCTAATGTTGGTCAGCTCTGTAGTAGCTGGTAGGCTAACTGATTATTATGCTGAGTCTAAAACTTGACAGGATCATAATCAGAGAGCATCATTAACTTTCAAACTCATGTCAGAGACAAGGTTGACCTGGTCTAATTAAAAATGACAGCTTGTTGAAAAATCGTACTCATTTTTTAAACTTTTTATTGATTTATATCAATAAAAAGTATATATTTTTATATATTATTATATTGATATAATACTGCTGTAAAATAATTTTTATTACCGCTGTCTGAATGTTAAAATTATAGTTCAGTTATTTTGAAGAGGCTGTATGATCAGTTGTTGTTATGGTTCTACTTTCTTTAACTACAGTATATTCTAACTGCTGCTTCCTGAGGTGAAAGTACAAGCATGTTTGCTAAAAGAGATGTGAGTTAATTTAAAAATACAATCTGATCAGATTAAATGATTTAACCTAAATTTAAAATCCATAAGTTACATTTTATAGATTGACTTACAGCAGTGATTCCCAAGCAGGGGTACATGAGCATATTACAGGGGGTACGTAAAGAAAAAATTCCCAGGTGTGTAAAAAAAATAAATAAAATAGGACTGAGATATGTAGTGCCCTATGATTTCTACAATGTGGAAATTGCAGACAGAATCATAGAATGAACACAAAATAAAATCCAGTATAAAACGTGGAATCTCAAGGAATTTGCTCATTTAGGAGAGTTTCTGACATATTTTGGACAATACAAAATATTTCGGATGCTGCTGTTTTACTTATTCACTTTCAAGGCAACATTTTTGTCTTTATGTTTAATTTGAGTTGAAAAAATAAATGCCTGAGAATTAAACGTTCTAGGAGGTTAAATAAATAATTTTCATTTAACAATCATTTGTACATTAGAGTTTTGGAGAATCATCATTACGCTTCATTATGTTTGACCAAAGGAGTACTAGTGGTAAGACAAAATGGCTCAGGCAGTACACAAGTCTAAAATGTTTAGGAACCACTGGTCTAAAGTTCTGAAATATTCCAGCACTTTCAGTACCTTGGACAGTTTCTTCAACCCTTTAGACTAGTGCGCAAAATTCTTTGATCAGATTAAAATGTATTCTGATTAAATAATCTGAATGCATCGTTTACATGGGCACAATCCGATCATGAGTGTTTACATGCGCCAGGCTTTTATTCAGAATAGAAGCACTGACATGAGCAGAGTTGTTAACTTTCCCTAAAAAAATGCACAGAAGAAGTTCTATTTCCGTGATGAACATATGTCTTCTGAGTACCCAAAATGGACCAGTGACAGGTTTTATTTATGGTGGAGACATTACTGCACTCCCTGGTTGAGCTGCATGTGACACACGGATTTATTTATTTATTTTTATTTTTTTGACGAAGCAGTGCATGCTGTTTGTCATCCTTTTTCATTGAAAGAGAAAGTGTGAGAAAGTTCTGTGCTGCTGGAAACTACACCGCTGCTGTTGAGCAGAAACTGCCTACACATTCTCACTCCCAAGTCGTCACATATTGACACTTTGGCAAAGGTTCCCTCTGCGTCTTATTTTGACGCGCAGGGTACCCCCCTCGCTTCAGTCCTTGACGCCCGCGGATTTTCCGGGTTTCGCCACCAGGGGTCTTTGGGTCGGGGGTCTGAGGTTAACATGAGGGATCAGGATTAATGGTTAAATTTAGGGACTGGGATCAGGGGTAGGATGTCCATGGTGAATATTGGGTCATTTTACGCTTTAGAACATGTTGACGTGAATTTCGTACATTTTCTAAAAATGGTTAATTTTAGGTACTACGGTCAGGGACAGGATGTCTAAAGTGAACAAAGGYAATTTCABGCTTTGGAACGGTCGTTTTCGCRCATTTTATACACTTTCTGAAAATATGWCAACAGAYTTCGCCCCATCTCGTCAGTAACTGACGTGACGGGGGTACCCTGCGCGTCAAAATCGGACGTACAGGGAACCTTGCCAACGCGTCAATATGTGACGACTTGGGAGTGAGAATGGGTTGAAACTGCTGGATGAAAGTCTGAAGACATGCACAGTCAGGTCAGTTTTCCACAATAAGAATAAGATGATCAGATCAAGTATCTACACGCACCTCGTTCGGATTATCAATCGGCATTAACCACCTCTCTCATTCTGATTACAAATTCATTCGGATTGAGCTGAATCGGATCAGAATTTTCCGAATGGCCGTTTAATCATATTACTTATGTCCATGTAAACATAGCTACTGTCTAAAGTTCTGAAACATTCCAGCATTTTTCAGCACCTTGGACAGTTCCTTCAGCCCTGCACTCTGTCTGAAGCAGTGATTCCCAACACAAGAATATATAGGGGGTACGTGGAAAAAATTTCCCAGGTTTGTAAAAAAATAAAATAAAATAAAAATAGGACTGAGATATGTAGGGCCGTATGATTTCTGC